TTGCGGCGGGACAAGGACCAAGGAAAATATACAGTGCTCCCAACAATACCAACTTATCCCTCCAAATCCATTGTTACTCTTGCCATAAAGTGAGCCTGCCAGACTGGTCCTTTCTCCCCCCAAGTATTCCAGTTCTTTCTCACCTCTATGCCATTGCTCTCACACCATTTTCTCTCATGAACTGTCCTTTTCATTAATCAATTCACTTTCTCCACAAATATCTCTAAAGCACTGCTGTATGCCTAGTACCTTGGATACGGTGATAATTGGTTAAACTCTTCTGCTCTCACAAATTATAGCCTCGTGTGGAAGACAAGCCTCCATTAATCTTCAACAAATATTTATTAGGTGCTATCATGTGCCACACACTATTCTAGGTGCTCGGGATACAGCAGCATACAAAACAGATAAATATCTCTACCATCATGGAACTTACATTCTGGTGAGAGAAGATAGATAATAAACAAAATAAGTAAAATATATAGTATGTTAGATGGTAACAATGGCCTTGGAAAAGCATAGAGCAGGGGATGGAGGTAGAGAGTTTTTACGGGAGATGGCAGTTTTTAAAGGATAAACAGAGAGGGCCTGCAAAGATGATATTTGAGTGGAGACCTGAAGCAGGTCTTCAGGTGCATAGTGAGGACACTGTGCGGGGTGCATTAGAGGTAGAGAAGCCCTGGGGTGGAGGTATGCCTGGCATGTTGTAGAACCTGCATGAAGGCCAGAGGGGAGTGAGGTGGGAATAGTGCGAAATGAGCTCAGAGGGGGCCAGATTGTGCAGGGCTTTGCAGGCCACTGGAAGGCCCTTGGCCAGTGCAGAGTGAGATAGGGAGTAATAAAAACTGTCCTACTTGTTTAGCTAGTGGATTGAGAATGGACTATAGGGAAATAAAGGTAGGAAAAGAAGACAACCTAAGAGGCTACTGCAAGAACCAAGAAGACAGATGGACGTTTGACCAAGAGTGGGAGCAGGATTTGCTGACAGATTGGATGTTGGGGAAAAGAGAGGAGTCAAGGATAACTCTAAGATTTCCGGCCTGAGCAATGGAAGGATGGAGTCACCATGTTCTGACATGGGGGGACTACTGGAAGAGGGCTTGGAATGGGGTGACAATCAGGATCCCAGTTTTAGACTAAGGAATTTGAGATGCCTAGTAAACATTAAAGAGGAGAAGTTGAACTGACATTTGGTTATATGAGTTTGGAGTTGAAGTGAGAGAGCTGGGAATCATCATATATGCCACTTAAAATTTTTTTAATAGAAATTGCCAAGCAGAAATAGACTGTTACAATGATTCCCCTCATACCCACATGGAACTTTAAAATCCATTGCTTCTTGATGTTTCTAGGTGGTATTTAAAACCTTGCCATTAGCTTGCTTATCCATGGGAGTGAGTGTACAAAGGTGAGAGAAGAGGGTGACCAAGTCCTAGTCAACTCCAGCATTAAAAGGTTGAGAAGATGAGGAGGAACCAGCAGAGGAGCCTGAAAATACGCAGTCAGTGACGTAGGGGGAAAACCAGATTCTGCTATCCTGGAAACTGAGTGAAGAAACTTTGGTATAAGTGTAAGGAAGAAAAAGAAGTGAGCAATGAGAACTAACCTAGTTTGGCAGTCAGGGAAGGCTTCCCTGAGGTGACATTTAAGTGGCCGCCCTCTCTCATCCTCTCTTTCTCCAACTTTTAAACCCTACTTCCTTCATCCTGCTTCCACTCTGACAACTGGCTCCTCCTCTCTGGGATGGCTTTACTCAGGACTGTGTGTCAGCCACAAGGGGCCGCTGGGACACACTGCTGGGACACAGTGATGAGAAAGAATTCCTGCCTCTGGGGAGTTTATACTCTAGTGAGGAGACAGACAAGCCATTTCCTTACAATGTGGTGAGTGCTACCATCACAGAAGCACTGTGGGCCTTGAAAGCACCAGAGAAGAGCACGTGATCCAGCTTGGGGGGAGTCACAAAGGCTTCCAGGAGGTAACACCTGAGCAGAGAGAATGGAGTAGAAGTTGGACCCCCAGGTTGCATCTACCCATACTCTTCAGCCTGGTTTGGATCTTTCAAATGTTAACCCTTGCCCACGTGCTTGGATTCCAGATCTTGCCTGAGATCTCCAGCCCAGCCTAGTCTGGACTTCAGTGCTGGGCTTTGCCCTCCTCTGTCACTATGAACTAACTGGTTTAGCTTGGGTCTCTCTGAAGCTCCCTTCTGACCTGCTCTATCACCTTCTGCTCTGGTCTCAGGCATTGACCTGTCCTGGGAACATCTAGAGTTTCCTGCCTCCATCACTCCTTTGGACTAAAAGTGGCATAAGGGCTCACCTTAGAGAAGATTGACACTGAGGCAGGACAGGACAGGACAGGCAGTAAGAGCAGGTGGGTAAATTAGTAACAAAAGACTGCAGAATAGAAATCTCTTGCAATCAAGTTAAAGCCAGGAGGGGGAGGAAACGTGTCTATCTTGCTCATCAGAAATCCCTAGTTATGGCTAGCAAGGTGAATGGCAGGAAATACGTGTTCAGTAAATGTTGAATGAATAGTTCTTACAAGACTACATTTACTATAGGGCACCAGTCCTAAACTGTCCTTCTAACTCCTACATAATTGTCCTACCTCCTATTCAGGTACAGAATGCCTTCCTCAAACCTGGCATTCAAGAGGACTCTTTACAAAGATTTTCATAGGGCCACTTGATGGCTCTTTGAGGAACAGGTGCAGGCAATCTGTTTCACTGCCAGTCTTTTCTTGCACGAATTTCCAGGCAAAGGCAACTGTTGGTATTCTCCCCGCCAGGGCCCTCAGCATCCGGAGGCGGCACGTTCCAAGGCCCAACACCCAGGGAGCCGAGGCGGAGGGCAGTCCTTCAGCTACTCCGGTGCCCCTTTCTCTTACCCTCCTGTTCCATCCCCGCCTGGTGGTGGAATGGGCCCGTGCCAGCGTCTGCGCCCCCTCCCGGGCTTGCTGTACATACGCCGTGGGCTGCCCAAGAAGGGGAAATCCCGGAGGAAGCCATTGTTGTTATTATCATAACGGCCCTTGTCGTCATCGGCTGAGGCGTGCCTAGCTAGAAGCCCCTTTAGCGCAAAGGACCCGCGGTTTCTTCCCGTTCTCGAGCTCGCCCGCCCTGGCCGCTTCGGGCGGCCACAGCATCCGAGAGCTGGAGTGAGTCGTGGCCCCTCCACGTCCCAGCTCCAGGGCTCTCAGAACTGGGGAAGCCCCAGGCCCGGTGCAGAGCTCTCAAAACCGACGGCGCCGGGCAGGACGAGCCCGGGGCCCAGGCATAGGCAGGCAAGGACTTTGAGTTCCATCCTAGCTCTGACACGGACCAACAAGGTGACACTGGCTTGTGACTGCCCCTCTGGTCGCCTCAGTTTGCGCCCCCACGACCCGAGGAAGCTGAGTTCCCACTCCTCTAGGGGAGGAGTTGGAGGGAGAAAGGCATCCCCCGCCCCTTGCTTTCCGCCCCGAGTGGGCTTTGGGGTGGGCCCTCCGCGGGAGTGTTGGGAGCGAGCGCGCCAAGGAAAGGCTGGCGCGGGCTCCCGGGCGCTGCGTGGTCGTGGAGGCACGGCGCCGAGGGCTAGCGCAGACCCTTTGGTTCTTCTCTCCCGCACCTCTCCCCACAGCAGTACGATCCCTTCGCACACGCCGCCAGCAAACCTTGGCATGAGCTACACCCTCCCTTTGAAACAGCAAGCCCATCGCCCAGCTTGCTTAATCCGTTAAGCCTCACCTCCTCCGCGAAGCTCTCCCGGGTTAACCCCATCATTTCCAACCACTCAATCTGGCTAGTGCGGCAGGTGTTTTTTTGGGGGGGGGGGTTTGTTGTTGGGGCGGGGGGAGGACGGGAAGAGTACATGCGGTCTCAATGTTTGGAATAACAATATTGGGGCTATGTTGTCTATCCCCAGAACCCTAATTTCAGGATGTCCAGCGTGTCTTGAAGGGTGCGACGGGTTTCTTGCTTCAGCTAGCCAACCACTCCCCACCCTCCACGCTTCCTATCCAAGCTCACTCATTCCCCTCCTCCTACAGACCCTCCTCTTCACAGAGTGTCACAGCTTGGAGTGCATAATCTAATCCCCACCCCCATTTCATCCTACAGCGGCAGCAGGTGTGAGGGGCAGAGCATAGACCCCAGGCTCGGCCACCGACTTTGCTGTAACTCCTTCTCCTAGGCTTTAGTTAAAGCAAAATTAGGTAATGCCCGGGAAGGTGCTACAGGTTCAGAGGTAAGGAATCACCTGCTGACAACCTGCAGCCTCCCTCCATGAACAGTGGCTTGTGACCCCAGAGAGGTGGCATCTCTCCTCCCTGCTCCAGCTGCCCCAGCCCGTGAGTGCGCACTCTCTTCAGTCGCCAGTGCAGCGCCCTAAAAACAGGGCAAGGAAAGAGAATGGGGTTCCAATCTCAGCCCTTTATTCACCGGCTGCATGACCCTGGACACTTCTTCCTCTGGGACTCAGTTTACTCGTCCGAAAAATAGAAGTAATAATAGATTGAAGGAGAGCAGGAATAATTTTGTCATCTAATGTCTCTGTATAAAAATAGGTGATAACGAGCGGCACAGTGCTTGGCAGCAGATTTTGCTCTCGAATTCCGACCCCACATCCTCCACAGAGGGCCTTCTGGTCGGAGCCCCTGGAGTCCTCCGGTACACGTCAGTGCTCACCGACATTCTTTCTGGTTCTCTGGAGATAGGTAACGGATCTACACCTGTTTCTGCCTCCATGTGGTGGGCTGGACCCACGGAGTGACGGGGCGGCGGGGTGCCACCCCGTGCGGGCATGTAAAGGGTCTTATTCCTTGGGCGAAGGTTGGTGGAGAGGTGCCTAGGCTTGAGGAGTTCGGCTTGGAACCCGTAGGCGGGGCTTGGATGGGGGCGGGGCTAGTCCACTAAGGAGTGGGGCTATGAAGATAAGGCGTTCTCTAGAGTCTGGCGGGGGCGCGGAGGACTCCCGCCGCCCGCACCTGGTTTTGGCGCAGGGAAACGGAGCATAGACTACGGGGGCTGGGCTCCGAGGGCGGTGCTTAGGCGTCGGAGAGAGGCTGGGGGATCTGGAGGCGGGGCTTGTGGAGCTCGCCCCACGCGGGGCGGGGCTCCTGAGGCCCCGGGATCTGCAGTTTGGACTCCCCGCGCCACAGTCGCCGCAGCTACCTCCACTCTGGTGGTCCCGCGGCCCTGCATGGAGTCTGGGGGTCGGCTGGCCTCTCGGACTTGGCGCGGGGCCGGCCCCGCCTTTCCCTCCCACGGTGGGGCCTAGACGGTCGGGGCTGCGGGGACATGGAGCCCTCTCCCACCACTGGGGGCTCGGAGACCACTCGCCTGGTGAGCCCCCGGGATCGCGGCGGCGCCGGTGGCAGCCTGCGTTTGAAGAGGTAGGACAGACCTGGGCCGGCCCTCAGCCCGGGGGCGCCACCCTCCTGCCATCGGTCCATTTCGTTGTGTTCCTCGGAGCGGCCTTATAGCCACCCGCCCCAGCGCACCGCAACTGCCTCGGCTCCGCGGTGCCCGGCTCAGTCCCCTTGCGACACATGTATACTGGCCGTATACCCCCGACCCTCCAGCCAGTCCCGACCCCTGCAGCTCAACAGCCCGCTACGCGTCTTCGCCGCTCCTCACCTTTTTCCCTGTCCCGCAAAACGACTCCCCGGCCCGCCCCCTAAGCCTCCGGACGTTTGCAGCTCCCCCGCCGCGTCTGATTTCCCTGCGAGCACCGCCCCTTCGTCGGGCCAGAGTCCGCGCCAGGTACCCCGATGTCTGCATTACTTCAGGGCCCTGGCGATGGGATCACCTCTCCACTCAGGCTTCGGAGCCCCATCTGCAGGCCTCCAGCCTTTCCCTTCGCGCGTCCGAGCTTGGGGCGACCCCTCCAGCCGCGGCCAGCTGTGGGCCCCGGGGCCCAAGATGCGCTCCCGCTGCGCGGCGGGTCTTCCAGGCCCCTGGGGGGCGGGCAGCTTCGGGGAAGCGAGGGGGTGGCCAGGAAGGAGCAGGTGCGGTCTGGGCGGCAGGGGGTATTCCCGGCTCCGCACAGACGGGGCCGGGGGCGGCGAGGTGTGAAATGAGGCTCGCAGAGCGGCCGGGACAGCGGGCCGGGGGCGGCCGTAGAACCGCCTCCGCGTCCCGCCAGCCTCCCGCGCCTGGTGCCCGCCGGTTCTGTCAGCCTTGTCCGCCGGAGTGGCTGCTCCGGGCCCTCCTTGGCCTCCTCCGCTGACCATTTTGTCTGTTGGCTGGCCGTCCGTTTATTTCGGAGATTTGTCAGGGTATCTGGCTTTTTCTCCTTCCTCATCTCTCCCAATCGTTCTGTTTCCCTCCCAGCTCCTTTCCCTTTGTCTCTGCGGTAGTGCCTCTGTGTGTTTCTCGCTCTTTCCCTGAGTGGGGGCCGTAAACCCGAGTGGATGGGGGAGTGGAGGAGCAGAAGGGCGGCCAGACTTCCCGTCTGACTCCTTCCTGCAGGGGACTGCAGGCGTGGGCAGCTGTGGGGGCTCCAGCCATGGCCCTGGCATCTCTTCACAGATTCTTTGACTAGGGTTCAGGTCTTCTGTCCTCCCTACATCTGCCCTACCCCACTCACATTATTTGTTGTTTGTTGGGGGTTTCAGAGGGCCACAGAGAGAAAACTGCCTTTCCTAATCACTAAACAGCATGCAGCCCTCCCCGCTCCAAACACACACACACCCACACTGACTTCTTTAGTACCCAATAGATGCAGAACAAAAGGGATCAGCCTGTTGACTGATGGTGCTGTGCCTTAAAGAAAACGCATCTTGCCCACTTGCCCCAAAGCCACCCAGCTTCTGTTTGCTCTTCAGACTTGCATCTCTGACTCTCATCTCATCTTCCTTCTCATATGACCATTAGTCACCAAATCCTGCAGTATTTTCTCAAAGAGGCTCTTCCCTACTCACCTGCCCCTCTAAAATTCTGCATGTGGAGTCTGTGGCCTGGTCTCTTCTGGACCCCTTCATCTCCTCTTCTGTCTTTCTCCCGGACTAGTGCATACCAAGGTCATCTCAGGGCTCAGGGAAGATTTGTTAAATCAGTGTGTTTTCCATTTTGTTTCTTTGAGCCCATCACTTTCCTCCTCAGACCTTCCCCTGGCTCCTCACACTTAAACTCTAAGCCATACATCTTGTCATTGTCATTCCATGTGTCTGAAGCCCCCTTCTCCACCTAGGTCTCATCTTTGACATCTCTCCCTCTGTGAAGTTCTCCTCACACCCATTAAAGTTGGTCACTCCCTCCCCTGTGCTCCAAAGTCTTTTGTTCATAACCTTCTGGCCCCAGCCTCTCCTTGCACTGTTAAGTCATTTATGACACATCTGTCTGTCTGTCTAGGCTGTCCTGCACCATGTGTATACTGCCTGGGACACCTTATTGAGGTTGGGTTTCAAAGCCACCTTCATTTCCCCATCTTCTTTGGAAACATCCAGAATCATACACACCTAGATTCCAAGTCTTCGAAGGAAATTCCAAGAAATGAATCTGTCTACCAGCTCTTGAATTTTCCCTACAATCACCACATGTCCCCCACCTCCCTCACACCGCAGTTCACCCAGTCGGCAGAGCTTTCCTCCGCCAGAAGGCCCCAGGCCTCCGTCCCCACTTTACTGCAGTGATCACATTCTATCTGGAGACTTTGTTTTCACTCATGAGTATTCTTGTCATGCTTCATGAGTATTTCTAGGACTGTATTTTCTGTTTAGGTCCTTTATTCTGTGGAAGGTTCTGTCCTTGCTGGTGTTCAGGTGGGTAGTAGTGGGATGAGTATTGGGCCAGAATGGACCTAAAACTCAATCTGCCTGAGCTCAGCCTCTAGCATCCCCAGTGAGGCCCCAGCCCATTCATTTGGTAAGGGAGGCCATGGCACTCTGTGGTTAAGGTGGCCTCTGCTGAGTGCTTATGGGCAGATTGAGGTCCAACTAACAGGTGGCAGACTCCAAATTCAGTGCTCCTACCACTACCAATCGCAGCCAGAGCAGTCTGCACTCTCTCCAGCTCTGGAATCTGGCCATTTGTTTTTTGTACTGGGAACCTCAGACTTTCCAGGTCCCAACATTCCACTCCTCTCTAAAGAGCCACACACTTCCACTGCACGTCTGGAGGGAAGGTGAGGATCTGGGAGTAAAGGCCCTGGAAAGTGGATCTGGGAGGGAGGTGGTGAGGCCAGCATTGAGTGCTGAGTCCTGCTGCATACATCCACACCCTTTCCCTTCACACTGCCTTTGCCTGGTATGTTCACTTCATCTTTATCAAAATCCTCTCTATCGTTCAGGCCCTTCTCATGGCACCTCCTTCTGTTGTTTCCCTGATTTCCTTAGATTTAATCTAAGCCTCTATTCTCTGACAGCACCTGTAATAGCCCTAATGGCAATAGCGACCTTCTGTTATATGTAATATTTAGGTTTACTGTTGTCTTATGCCCTGAAAGCTCCCAGAGATCAGAAAGGCTGTCCTGTTCCTTTTGTGTTCCTTCTGGTGCCTATCAGAATGGTTTGGTTGGAGACTGGTCTCAGCTCTACCACTAACTGCTGTGTGGCCTCCATAAAGCCTTGCCCTCTCTGAGCCTCATACTTCTCATTTTTTAAATAAAGTGTTAGACTAGTCTATCTTTAAGGTGTTTTTCAGTTGTGAAATTCTATGGCTCTGTGCATGAAAGGAAATAGGAGGCCAGGATCTGAGCTGTTTATTTAGACCCCATCTCTCAGGTGGCCCTCTGTCCAGAGGTTCCCGGGTATGATCAGGTCTTGGAAGGAGTGAGAGGCCAGATCAGGTGAAGCCAGTCTGGGGAACCGAGGACCTGGGAGTGAGAAGCAAGTCAGCCTGCAGTTCAGGCCCCAGGTTGAACAGCGTTGCCCTCCTCAGTCTCTTCACAGAGCCCTCTCAGCCCCTCCCTGAGGAGCAGAATCCTGTGGAGATGCCCTTCCACCACTGCCACAGGGACCCCCTGCCGCAGCCGGGTCTCACCCCAGAGAGGCTGCAGGCACAGAGGCAACTGTGTGCCGCCTGCGCTGTGTGCTGCATCTTCATGGCTGGGGAGGTGGTCGGTAAGTTGGAGAGCAGCTTCTCCAACCCCATCCTCCTGCCCCCTGCAAGCCACTCTCGGCCCAGAGTCCCAGGGATGTTCCTGAGCAAGGCAGAGATGCAGAGAAGGGGATGGCGAGGATGGGGAGGTTGGATGCCCAGGACTCAGGAAGTGGGCGAGGCTGAGGGACAGCACCAAGGGGGATCCAGGGCGACCCCCAGGGCCAGAGGACCGGGGCTGGCTTCTCAGTGTTAACTGGTCTTCTAAACACCCCCATTTCTTCTTATTAAATTATGTCATTACAGAAGAATTAGAAAATATGGGTGAGTGAAAAGGAGAAAATAAAAACTAGCTGTAATCCCATCACCAAAGAAAAACCAGTTCATATTTTGGCATATATCCCCCCAGTCTCTTTTCCTTGCTGGCACACACGCACACTGCATGGTATTTTCTAAATGGAACAAAGCATACCATTGTTTTACCCTTGCAGGTGGGTATTTGGCACACAGCCTGGCCATTATGACTGATGCAGCCCACCTCCTGGCAGATGTGGGCAGCATGATGGGCAGCCTGTTCTCCCTTTGGCTCTCTACCCGCCCAGCCACCCGCATCATGACCTTTGGCTGGCACCGCTCAGGTAAGGCCCCTGCATGGCCTGGTGACCCTCCAGTCTTGCCAGAGGGTACATCTCAGGGCCCCGGGCAGGTCCCTGATAGCTTGTCTCCCCCTGCAGAGACTCTGGGGGCTTTGGCCTCTGTGGTCTCCCTCTGGATGGTCACTGGCATCCTCTTGTACCTGGCCTTCATCCGCCTGCTGCACAGCGACTACCACATCGAGGGGGGTGCCATGCTGCTGACCGCCAGCATCGCAGTCTGTGCCAATCTGCTGTATGTTCCAGCCTGGAGCAGGCACTACGTGGGACTCAGGGCGACAGGTCCTCCAGGAGGGGAGAGCTGGCTCTCCCCTCCCCAACAGCCATGCATCATGAACACACAGTTGTCAACTGTCTGCTCCCAGGATGTCTGAGAAGGGGCTGGGATAGAGACCAAAAGTCAGAGTCTGCAGACATTTGTTAAGGGCCTACTGTGTACCAGCCACTCTGCTGGGGGCTTTCATCAGTACTGTCTTATTTAAAACTCACAACCACCCCATAAGATAGGTAGTATGCCCCTAGGATACAGTTAATGAAATATATCCCAACAGGTGACCAGGTGACTTGCCCAGGCCACAACTATTTAAGCAGCAGAGCCAGGATTTGAGTCCACATCTCTGGTCCCAAGTCCAGTAGTCTTTCCTCAGGCTGCACGATTTGTCTCACTTCAACAATGCTGTCTTCTTCTTGGGGCTGGGAAAAGAGGGATAAAATAGGTGGAGAAAGGGCTCTGGGGAGGGGAGCGGAGGAGATGGGAAACAGGGTAGAGGAGGCCAGGAACAGGCTGCCTGGGCTGAGCTGCTCTGCTCCCCCCTCAGAATGGCCTTTGTGCTGCACCAGGCCGGCCCCCCCCACAGCCATGGGTCTAGGGGTGCGGAGTATGCACCGCTGGAAGAGGGGCCCGGGGAGCCCCTGCCCCTGCCCCTGGGGAACACCAGCGTCCGGGCAGCCTTTGTGCATGTGCTGGGGGACCTCCTGCAGAGCCTTGGGGTACTTGCCGCCTCCGTCCTCATCTACTTCAAGGTACTGCCCCAGCCCTGCTTCCCAGAACCCTCAGCCTCCCTCCCCTGACTGCAGCTCCCAGCTTCCCAGGACTCCTGCCTGGCCCTCTCCCCTCAGCAGTGTTCTCAGGGCTTCTCAGGACCTGTTTGTTCGGGATGCCCCTCGACATTCTGAAAGGTCCCTGGTTCCCGGGCTGAGGGGGCTCTTTCCCCACAGCCCCAGTACAAAGCGGCCGACCCCATCAGCACCTTCCTCTTCTCCATCTGCGCACTTGGCTCCACAGCTCCCACCCTCCGAGATGTTCTTCGCGTCCTCATGGAAGGTGAATCAGATGCCACCGCTCCCTGCCCTGGGGCCCTCTCTAACCTCACTCAAACTCTGGGCTGCCTCTCTCCTCCGAAAGGAGTGTGGGAAGGAGGCCTGGGTCATGGGCTCTATTGCTGGAAGGAGAATTCAGATGCAGGGTGGATTGTGGGGGTCCACAGGGTGAGTGAACACAGGAGGGGGGAGGTAGTCTGTGGGAGCTGCCCCTGGAGTGAGCCTGGCAGTAAGGCATGTGGGTGGGTGCTGCTTGCAGGTAGCCCCCGAAATGTGGGATTTGAGCCCGTGCGGGATACACTGTTGTCAGTGCCAGGAGTCCGAGCAACTCATGAGCTACATCTGTGGTCCCTTACGCTCACTTACCATGTGGCCTCTGCACACCTGGCCATTGGTGAGTCCACACTGGCCCCTTCCCCTCCCCCTCCAAACCTAGAAAGATAGCCTGAATTACTGGGGCTTTTTCAGTGTCTCTGTCTTTCTTGTCTCTGTCTCTCTCTCTCTCTCACACATGCATGCTGGAGACAAGGAGCCCTGGACAGGGAACCAGCAATCCTTGAAAAGATCCCTAGTGCCTATAGGCCTAGTGATGGGCCTGGTTAGGTCAATTATGGCAGCTCCACTCAGTACAGGCATCATGTAACTATTAAAAATGATGATTATGAAAACTGTGTGGCAACTAGGGAAAATGTTTATGGTCTAATGCAATGAGAAAAAGCTAAATATAAATTTTTATCTACATTATGATTCAACTATTTAAAATATATATGGTGACTCACAAGCTGACGAAGATTTTTGAGTTTCTTCCAGCTGCAAGAAGCAATCAAGAGAAATGTAATTGGATGCCAGAAATATTATACTTTGTGGAATATTTGATGGTAACTCTAGAGGGGCAATGGGGAGAATATGTAACATCTGGATTGTCCTGGAAAATTGAGTAGTTTGGCTGCTGGAACATATAGCTGTATGTTGATACTCAAAAAGCAGGAGAGAATAGAAAAATAAGAAGAGCTTAGTGCATTAATGTGGTCGATTAGGGGTGAGTCTTTCCAACCTTTGATGTTTTTATGCTGTCCATACAAATCAGAAAGCAAAACCCCCCATTCAAGCTGGCTTTAATGCTGTGCAAACCCTTGGGTGCCCCTTCACCCATCTGAGCAGAAGGGCGGCCAGACTTCCCGTCTGACTCCTTCCTGCAGGGGACTGCAGGCGTGGGCAGCTGTGGGGGCTCCAGCCATGGCCCTGGCATCTCTTCACAGATTCTTTGACTAGGGTTCAGGTCTTCTGTCCTCCCTACATCTGCCCTACCCCACTCACATTATTTGTTGTTTGTTGGGGGTTTCAGAGGGCCACAGAGAGAAAACTGCCTTTCCTAATCACTAAACAGCATGCAGCCCTCCCCGCTCCAAACACACACACACCCACACTGACTTCTTTAGTACCCAATAGATGCAGAACAAAAGGGATCAGCCTGTTGACTGATGGTGCTGTGCCTTAAAGAAAACGCATCTTGCCCACTTGCCCCAAAGCCACCCAGCTTCTGTTTGCTCTTCAGACTTGCATCTCTGACTCTCATCTCATCTTCCTTCTCATATGACCATTAGTCACCAAATCCTGCAGTATTTTCTCAAAGAGGCTCTTCCCTACTCACCTGCCCCTCTAAAATTCTGCATGTGGAGTCTGTGGCCTGGTCTCTTCTGGACCCCTTCATCTCCTCTTCTGTCTTTCTCCCGGACTAGTGCATACCAAGGTCATCTCAGGGCTCAGGGAAGATTTGTTAAATCAGTGTGTTTTCCATTTTGTTTCTTTGAGCCCATCACTTTCCTCCTCAGACCTTCCCCTGGCTCCTCACACTTAAACTCTAAGCCATACATCTTGTCATTGTCATTCCATGTGTCTGAAGCCCCCTTCTCCACCTAGGTCTCATCTTTGACATCTCTCCCTCTGTGAAGTTCTCCTCACACCCATTAAAGTTGGTCACTCCCTCCCCTGTGCTCCAAAGTCTTTTGTTCATAACCTTCTGGCCCCAGCCTCTCCTTGCACTGTTAAGTCATTTATGACACATCTGTCTGTCTGTCTAGGCTGTCCTGCACCATGTGTATACTGCCTGGGACACCTTATTGAGGTTGGGTTTCAAAGCCACCTTCATTTCCCCATCTTCTTTGGAAACATCCAGAATCATACACACCTAGATTCCAAGTCTTCGAAGGAAATTCCAAGAAATGAATCTGTCTACCAGCTCTTGAATTTTCCCTACAATCACCACATGTCCCCCACCTCCCTCACACCGCAGTTCACCCAGTCGGCAGAGCTTTCCTCCGCCAGAAGGCCCCAGGCCTCCGTCCCCACTTTACTGCAGTGATCACATTCTATCTGGAGACTTTGTTTTCACTCATGAGTATTCTTGTCATGCTTCATGAGTATTTCTAGGACTGTATTTTCTGTTTAGGTCCTTTATTCTGTGGAAGGTTCTGTCCTTGCTGGTGTTCAGGTGGGTAGTAGTGGGATGAGTATTGGGCCAGAATGGACCTAAAACTCAATCTGCCTGAGCTCAGCCTCTAGCATCCCCAGTGAGGCCCCAGCCCATTCATTTGGTAAGGGAGGCCATGGCACTCTGTGGTTAAGGTGGCCTCTGCTGAGTGCTTATGGGCAGATTGAGGTCCAACTAACAGGTGGCAGACTCCAAATTCAGTGCTCCTACCACTACCAATCGCAGCCAGAGCAGTCTGCACTCTCTCCAGCTCTGGAATCTGGCCATTTGTTTTTTGTACTGGGAACCTCAGACTTTCCAGGTCCCAACATTCCACTCCTCTCTAAAGAGCCACACACTTCCACTGCACGTCTGGAGGGAAGGTGAGGATCTGGGAGTAAAGGCCCTGGAAAGTGGATCTGGGAGGGAGGTGGTGAGGCCAGCATTGAGTGCTGAGTCCTGCTGCATACATCCACACCCTTTCCCTTCACACTGCCTTTGCCTGGTATGTTCACTTCATCTTTATCAAAATCCTCTCTATCGTTCAGGCCCTTCTCATGGCACCTCCTTCTGTTGTTTCCCTGATTTCCTTAGATTTAATCTAAGCCTCTATTCTCTGACAGCACCTGTAATAGCCCTAATGGCAATAGCGACCTTCTGTTATATGTAATATTTAGGTTTACTGTTGTCTTATGCCCTGAAAGCTCCCAGAGATCAGAAAGGCTGTCCTGTTCCTTTTGTGTTCCTTCTGGTGCCTATCAGAATGGTTTGGTTGGAGACTGGTCTCAGCTCTACCACTAACTGCTGTGTGGCCTCCATAAAGCCTTGCCCTCTCTGAGCCTCATACTTCTCATTTTTTAAATAAAGTGTTAGACTAGTCTATCTTTAAGGTGTTTTTCAGTTGTGAAATTCTATGGCTCTGTGCATGAAAGGAAATAGGAGGCCAGGATCTGAGCTGTTTATTTAGACCCCATCTCTCAGGTGGCCCTCTGTCCAGAGGTTCCCGGGTATGATCAGGTCTTGGAAGGAGTGAGAGGCCAGATCAGGTGAAGCCAGTCTGGGGAACCGAGGACCTGGGAGTGAGAAGCAAGTCAGCCTGCAGTTCAGGCCCCAGGTTGAACAGCGTTGCCCTCCTCAGTCTCTTCACAGAGCCCTCTCAGCCCCTCCCTGAGGAGCAGAATCCTGTGGAGATGCCCTTCCACCACTGCCACAGGGACCCCCTGCCGCAGCCGGGTCTCACCCCAGAGAGGCTGCAGGCACAGAGGCAACTGTGTGCCGCCTGCGCTGTGTGCTGCATCTTCATGGCTGGGGAGGTGGTCGGTAAGTTGGAGAGCAGCTTCTCCAACCCCATCCTCCTGCCCCCTGCAAGCCACTCTCGGCCCAGAGTCCCAGGGATGTTCCTGAGCAAGGCAGAGATGCAGAGAAGGGGATGGCGAGGATGGGGAGGTTGGATGCCCAGGACTCAGGAAGTGGGCGAGGCTGAGGGACAGCACCAAGGGGGATCCAGGGCGACCCCCAGGGCCAGAGGACCGGGGCTGGCTTCTCAGTGTTAACTGGTCTTCTAAACACCCCCATTTCTTCTTATTAAATTATGTCATTACAGAAGAATTAGAAAATATGGGTGAGTGAAAAGGAGAAAATAAAAACTAGCTGTAATCCCATCACCAAAGAAAAACCAGTTCATATTTTGGCATATATCCCCCCAGTCTCTTTTCCTTGCTGGCACACACGCACACTGCATGGTATTTTCTAAATGGAACAAAGCATACCATTGTTTTACCCTTGCAGGTGGGTATTTGGCACACAGCCTGGCCATTATGACTGATGCAGCCCACCTCCTGGCAGATGTGGGCAGCATGATGGGCAGCCTGTTCTCCCTTTGGCTCTCTACCCGCCCAGCCACCCGCATCATGACCTTTGGCTGGCACCGCTCAGGTAAGGCCCCTGCATGGCCTGGTGACCCTCCAGTCTTGCCAGAGGGTACATCTCAGGGCCCCGGGCAGGTCCCTGATAGCTTGTCTCCCCCTGCAGAGACTCTGGGGGCTTTGGCCTCTGTGGTCTCCCTCTGGATGGTCACTGGCATCCTCTTGTACCTGGCCTTCATCCGCCTGCTGCACAGCGACTACCACATCGAGGGGGGTGCCATGCTGCTGACCGCCAGCATCGCAGTCTGTGCCAATCTGCTGTATGTTCCAGCCTGGAGCAGGCACTACGTGGGACTCAGGGCGACAGGTCCTCCAGGAGGGGAGAGCTGGCTCTCCCCTCCCCAACAGCCATGCATCATGAACACACAGTTGTCAACTGTCTGCTCCCAGGATGTCTGAGAAGGGGCTGGGATAGAGACCAAAAGTCAGAGTCTGCAGACATTTGTTAAGGGCCTACTGTGTACCAGCCACTCTGCTGGGGGCTTTCATCAGTACTGTCTTATTTAAAACTCACAACCACCCCATAAGATAGGTAGTATGCCCCTAGGATACAGTTAATGAAATATATCCCAACAGGTGACCAGGTGACTTGCCCAGGCCACAACTATTTAAGCAGCAGAGCCAGGATTTGAGTCCACATCTCTGGTCCCAAGTCCAGTAGTCTTTCCTCAGGCTGCACGATTTGTCTCACTTCAACAATGCTGTCTTCTTCTTGGGGCTGGGAAAAGAGGGATAAAATAGGTGGAGAAAGGGCTCTGGGGAGGGGAGCGGAGGAGATGGGAAACAGGGTAGAGGAGGCCAGGAACAGGCTGCCTGGGCTGAGCTGCTCTGCTCCCCCCTCAGAATGGCCTTTGTGCTGCACCAGGCCGGCCCCCCCCACAGCCATGGGTCTAGGGGTGCGGAGTATGCACCGCTGGAAGAGGGGCCCGGGGAGCCCCTGCCCCTGCCCCTGGGGAACACCAGCGTCCGGGCAGCCTTTGTGCATGTGCTGGGGGACCTCCTGCAGAGCCTTGGGGTACTTGCCGCCTCCGTCCTCATCTACTTCAAGGTACTGCCCCAGCCCTGCTTCCCAGAACCCTCAGCCTCCCTCCCCTGACTGCAGCTCCCAGCTTCCCAGGACTCCTGCCTGGCCCTCTCCCCTCAGCAGTGTTCTCAGGGCTTCTCAGGACCTGTTTGTTCGGGATGCCCCTCGACATTCTGAAAGGTCCCTGGTTCCCGGGCTGAGGGGGCTCTTTCCCCACAGCCCCAGTACAAAGCGGCCGACCCCATCAGCACCTTCCTCTTCTCCATCTGCGCACTTGGCTCCACAGCTCCCACCCTCCGAGATGTTCTTCGCGTCCTCATGGAAGGTGAATCAGATGCCACCGCTCCCTGCCCTGGGGCCCTCTCTAACCTCACTCAAACTCTGGGCTGCCTCTCTCCTCCGAAAGGAGTGTGGGAAGGAGGCCTGGGTCATGGGCTCTATTGCTGGAAGGAGAATTCAGATGCAGGGTGGATTGTGGGGGTCCACAGGGTGAGTGAACACAGGAGGGGGGAGGTAGTCTGTGGGAGCTGCCCCTGGAGTGAGCCTGGCAGTAAGGCATGTGGGTGGGTGCTGCTTGCAGGTAGCCCCCGAAATGTGGGATTTGAGCCCGTGCGGGATACACTGTTGTCAGTGCCAGGAGTCCGAGCAACTCATGAGCTACATCTGTGGTCCCTTACGCTCACTTACCATGTGGCCTCTGCACACCTGGCCATTGGTGAGTCCACACTGGCCCCTTCCCCTCCCCCTCCAAACCTAGAAAGATAGCCTGAATTACTGGGGCTTTTTCAGTGTCTCTGTCTTTCTTGTCTCTGTCTCTCTCTCTCTCTCACACATGCATGCTGGAGACAAGGAGCCCTGGACAGGGAACCAGCAATCCTTGAAAAGATCCCTAGTGCCTATAGGCCTAGTGATGGGCCTGGTTAGGTCAATTATGGCAGCTCCACTCAGTACAGGCATCATGTAACTATTAAAAATGATGATTATGAAAACTGTGTGGCAACTAGGGAAAATGTTTATGGTCTAATGCAATGAGAAAAAGCTAAATATAAATTTTTATCTACATTATGATTCAACTATTTAAAATATATATGGTGACTCACAAGCTGACGAAGATTTTTGAGTTTCTTCCAGCTGCAAGAAGCAATCAAGAGAAATGTAATTGGATGCCAGAAATATTATACTTTGTGGAATATTTGATGGTAACTCTAGAGGGGCAATGGGGAGAATATGTAACATCTGGATTGTCCTGGAAAATTGAGTAGTTTGGCTGCTGGAACATATAGCTGTATGTTGATACTCAAAAAGCAGGAGAGAATAGAAAAATAAGAAGAGCTTAGTGCATTAATGTGGTCGATTAGGGGTGAGTCTTTCCAACCTTTGATGTTTTTATGCTGTCCATACAAATCAGAAAGCAAAACCCCCCATTCAAGCTGGCTTTAATGCTGTGCAAACCCTTGGGTGCCCCTTCACCCATCCTTATCTCAGCCCCTGCCTGGTTCCCCACTCCCCTGGGAACCTGCTGCCTCTTATCACGCTTCCACAGACTCCACGGCCGATCCTGAGGCTGTCCTGGCTGAAGCCTCATCCCGGCTCCACTCCCGGTTTGGATTCTCCAGCTGTATCCTGCAGGTTGAGCAGTACCAGCCGGAGATGGCCCAGTGTCTGCGCTGCCGGGAACCCCCCGAAGCCTGAGCCTTGGCCCCACCTCACGCCCCTGCCAGGCCCTGGCTCAGCCCCCTGACTCTCAGCACCTGCCTCCCTGCTCATGGAGAAGGGACAGAGCTGGGCCTGTACCCTTCCTCTCTCCTTCCTTCCACTTGCCGAATCCCAAGTCCCCAGCCTCAGTGGGCAAGACCAAAGTGTGGGGTCAGGGAATCAGGCTGAGCAGGACAATCAGTGCAGCAGGGTGTGTAAAGTCCCTCTGTCCCTGCTCCCCACAGTCTGGATAGCGTGAGTGTCCTTTCCATGCACTTCACTTGTCTGTGTGGCTGGCTGGGGACAGCTGCCTGTCTGTGTGCTGTTGGTGTGCCTGTGCCTGGGGGAGGTCGTCAGGGGCCCCTCCCCACATGGCCCTCGCTCTGTCTATGCAGGAGCCCCAGAGCCCGCACTTTGTCCGTGTGTTCTAGCCCTGTGGTTTTGTCTCTGTGGTCTTGGTGCTGTGGCCTGTGTCTGTGCCTGTGTGGCTGTGCAATGGTCTCTATGAGTCAATACCCTCCATGTGTCCATTTGGGGGTCTGTCTGTCTGTCCCTTTGTTGGTGCTGTGCCCTCGGCTATCCCAGAAAGAGGGAGGACTCTGCTGCAGCTCCAATAAACTTGTGTCTGACTGCATCTTTCAGCTCTGTGTACTGACTCCTCAGGAGGAAATAGAATCCTGCAGCCAGTGACCTCCCACAGCCCTCCTCTCCCCTCCTCCTTTCTACCCTCTCTACCTCCAATATCCATTCCCATGTAGGCTAAACACCCCCAGTCCCTTTACTACTTTCCACCTCTTCACAACCTGAGTCCTTGGCTCAGGTCGTCCCCAGGGGCCCTGGGCTTGATTGCAGGAGAAAGCTGGAAGGCAAGGGGCCATGGGACCCTGGAGAGCCATTCCTAAGGGCTCCTGCAGGCCATAGTGTGTCCCTTTTGGGGAGAGTGGTGGGTTGGACCACAGTGCTAACGTCAGCCCCTGTTCTCAAACTGTGTAAGGTGCTGGGGAGGGGCCCTCAGTCCTGGCTGCCCCAATCCTGGCTGACAGCAGTCAACCCTGAGCCCGGTTTTGGGCTTTGGACACCAAAGACCTCTTTGGCAATTACTCCCCCTTTGCTTTAAGAATCATATTCTGACAGATTTGATCTTACAAACCAGATTCATTAAGAGAATGTTGATTTTCTCTTCAAAAATCAAACTTTTTGTGCTTTTTTAGATCTAGTGCTTTGGATCAGCAGGAATTCACTGGTCTTCCCACCCTAGGTTGATAAATTCCAGCTTGAAGCCAAGACACTGACATTTTCATTAGCCTATACATAATTCTGCAAGGGTTTCTTGTGCTTAATGGAAATATCTTCATGAAAAAATTGTATTTTTTATTATAAAAGCAATCTGTGCTTTCTTGGAAAGCCCAACAAAGGAAAAGTATATAAAGTAGAAAGTGAATGTTTCCTCCATAATCTTCCTTCCAGAGGTAATGCTATTCACAGCTCAGTATCTCTCCTCCCATATTTTTATGTTTGTACAAACAGTTCTATATGATAACATAAATGGGATCCCACCATGAGATTGTGTGACCTGCTCTTATGATTCAACCAGGATGCACCTTTCCGTGTCAATGCACACAGGTTTCCTTACTCTTTTTAAGGTAAGGCTTTTGGAACCTTTGAAAATAGGCCTTCCGGCTCCGATCTCCAGCTGCCCCTCCTCCTGACCCTCCCCATCAGCTTACTGAGGGCCTCATGGCCCAGTGGGGAAGGGAGGCGGGGCCGAGGTGAGGGGCTGGCGCTGCAAAGCTGCCCCAGCTGCCCGCCATGCCTTGCTAGTTCCCGATACTTTCTCATTTTACGTCTCATTGATTACAGGCCCCAAGCGACAGGATGGGGGTGGGGAGGACTAAGGAAACGGAGAGTGAGATAAATGAGGATTGGATTTTCACTCTATGGACAGCCTTAAGCTGCAGCCCCACTCTCTGGCACAATGCTTGGGTCCCTTACCAGGGGAGGGAACAGAATGTTCCAGGCAGAAAGAGATCTCACCAAGCGTGCAGGCTGTCTCTGCCCCAGACAAAATGAGGAAGAGGAAGCTGAGGTTCAGAGAAGGAAAGGACTCCCAAGGTCACCCAAGCATGTGGTGGGGCAGGAGCAGAGCTGGAGTTCTCACTCACAGACCTCCTTTGAAGCTCTGGCCCAGATCAGTTTCTCAGCAAAACTTTTCTCCAGCTCTTTTCCCAGCAACCCGCTACTGCTGGCGAGGTGAATCCTGGGGCTCTTGACTCAGGCTCCTTGGTTCTGCCCCAGCCTTGCACTAATACTCTGGTCATTGTTGACCTTCCTGCATTCCAGCTTTCTTAACTGTGAAGAGGACATGACACTGTCTTGCCAATGGGTTTCAGCCCCGGGCAAGTTCGCTATGGATTCAATGTGACCAAAGAAAGTGATAATAAAATGTTCTTGGGGTGAAAGGGTTATACCCAACTTCATTTCCAGGTGGCAGGTCAGTCACTAAAATGCCCTTCACTCAGAGCAAGTCTGCATGCAGCAAGCCGGTCTCTGCCTCTGGGCCCCTCTGTCCTCACAGCCGTCCCACACAGCCATCCTCTGGGCCTCTCTGCACAGTCCTCCTGCACAGCCTTCCTCCGGGCCTCTGTCCTCGGCGCTGCCACCACTCCAGCCTCTGCTCTGCTCTCCTGCAGCCTTGCAGCAGTGCCAGCGTGCAGCACCCAGAGCACTGGGCGGAGCTCTTCATATAGAGTCAACAGCCATGTATTGCCCACAGGTGTGCAGTGAGCTAGTCAACCAGGTCTAGGTGAGAATCCTGGCCACAGGAACTCTCATTTGATCCACAACACTGTGGGTGTGAATGTGCCTGGTATATAGAAGGCATGTAGGAGGGTTATCTTTTGGGTGGAATCCAGGGTGCAGAGGAGAGGTTTCAGGGGAACAGGGTGGCCCAGCACCTTGATAGCAGAGACAGGAGCCAATATTTATTGAGCTTACACTTACTGGTTCAAGGCACTGTGAGCTAAACAGTGTTATTTACTCTTTACAGATGGAGAAACTGAGCTTACCTGCCTGAGGCTGTGCAGCTAAAACCTGTCAGAGTTGAGATACAAACTCAGCTCTGGCTGCTCTAAGTCCCCAGCCCTTTTTCCATATAACCCTGCCTTCCCACCACCTCTAGACATGGCTGTAATCATAGATAGAAGGATCAGGAGCCTTCTCTCTCATTCATACAGCACTCCCAAGGGAATCCAGGAACGCCTTATCTGCAGGAGCTGCCTGAACTACCCCTGTTATCTCCAAAGTCACCTTCTCCACTTGCTTATCCAGAGGCGCTTTCCTCTTGGTACCCTTCCCTGATGATAAAATGTGTGGTGGGGGGGGAGGTGAGGAGGAAGGGCTGGAAGGGAGGAGGACGATGGGGAGGCCCATCGGTCAGCCCGGCCCTGGCAGCGCCTCACACAGCTGGCTAAACAGGGCTAACGGAGGCACCTGCGAGGCAAAGCGCAAACAGAAAAGGAGAGTCGGAGGAGGCCGAGGGAGGGAGGGAGGAGGTTTGCCTGCCCAGAACCCCAGCAGGAGAGATGGGAGACCCGGAGCCAGCGGCAAAGGCGGAAGGGGAGGATATGGATCCGTGGGGCCGTCTGCGGCAGAGCCTGGGCTGGGGCACATCCCCGCAGGGGTGCTGCTCCCCTGGGGGCCTCTGCGCCAGTGGCCTGGCCGGGCTGCCCTTCTGTTGAGGGGTGTTAGGGCTAACCATCAGGCCAGGGGAGCAGCCTGTCAGGGGTCAAGAGGAAGTGCAGGGTGATTAAAAAGTAGTGTCCTCTTCTCTCCAGTGACCCTGCTGCCCCTTCAGGGACTTTAGTGAGCTGAGCCCCATCCTGCTGCTTTGAGCAAGGCTGTTGAAGGGGGAACAGTGCCCTCCTGAGGCCTGAGCCATGATAGCAGAAGGCTCTGGAGCGATCTCAGGACCAGTCAGGACGGGAAGACCTCTGCCCCTCTTCCTGGCAGATTCCCCTGCCTCTGACGGGGACTCTTCATCCCCTTTTCACAGTTCCCAGGGCTTCTCGGTCCCTGCTCTTAGCCCCAGGGCCATTCCAGCAGCAACTTGTCAGTAGCTCCCAAGCGGTGCTGGCCAGTTCCCAGGCCCCAGTGGGGCAGCCTGAGGTTGTATATGCAGCCATGATTATGAATGAGCTCATGGACAAAGTGGGCCCAGTTGCCAGGACTGGCAAGAGATCATGGGGAGGGAGAATGGGAAGGAAGGAGAGGTGCCTGTGGTTGCCAGAGCCTCTCTCAGCTCCACTCCCTACCCTCTCTCTGCCCCAGCCCGCCTCACCTGCTCTCTGGCTACAGCATCCTGAAGCTCCAGGAAGCTCCCTGGGCTATAGCCCCCACCAGGCCTGCGAGCACTCACTCAGAGGACAGCTCTCATGTCAGGGCTGTCCCCTGTGCGGGGCACCAGCCTAGAGGCCATGGTGGCCACCCTGGGAAGGGCATGTTCCGTGCCTCTCACGAACTATTTCCTCCTCCCCACCTGCACCAGAACTGCCACTCCCTCTGAAAGACTTTCTGGTCAGTTCCTAAGTGGGTGCCTCAAAGCTACAGGGAAGCAAACTGCAGCCATCAACAGCCTTCCCCAACCTGGCTGAGAGCTGTGGTCCAGGGGAAGGTTGCACACTGTTTGTACAGATGCTTTCCAGTCTTAAAAGAAAACAAGATCTTTGCAGAGTAGAACAGGAAAGCACTGTGTAGGGGCCCAGGTGTGCCCCTTCTGAGTGTTCCTGTCCCGTTTGGTGCTATGCTCATGGCACCTGCTCTCAGGGTTTACTGCCTGCGTTTCTCTCTGACCTGTACAGCCCGAACAACCAATTCTATTCTCTTGTTCCCTTTGGCTCAACCAAAATAGGCCATAAATTTTAAAAGGAACTTAGCCAAAACGCCTAGGGAGAAACAAAAGGAAATCAAACCCAGGAAATAAAAGACAGTTAAAGCTTACCAAAATCAGCAAGTTTCAGACAGAACAACAGCAAACTTGCTCTTTCCTGAACATGAAGTCTACCCAGAAATGGCTTCCCTGCTCCCCCATCCTGTCCCCCTGCTGCACCAGAGCTGGTTCAGATCGGGATTTGGTCTCACAGGACTCTTGGGAGGCACAGTGAGGGCGCTGGGCTTGCCCTGAAGACTGCACCCTTGGGGGAAGTTCATGCTTTCTTCATGCTTGCCTCCCTAGCTCCCAGCTCCCAGCCTGGCACTTCATAGATGCTCAATAATGACTGTTGGTGGGGGACTGGACAGATCGGAAAATGGTGGATGACTGCGCGTGGGGTCAATATGAAACCTATAAAGGTCTCTCTCAGGCCCCAACAAGCCAGTGCTGTACAGGCTCCCACCTAGGGCAGATCTGCAGCAGCCCGTGGGGGTAACTAATCAAGTGCTTCTCAAGGAGGAAGTAACTGCTATTTCCAGAGTCCTCAAGGGAGGGTGACATGCTTGTCCATGGCCCTGCGCTGGACATTGCTTCCCCAACCCTGCCACAAACTCAGTGTCCAGCTTCCCCCGAGCCCTGCTTGGTGACCCTTTCTTTTAGTCTCTTGAGGATTCATCACAGCTTTCCCAGCCTCTGCCAGACTTTCAAGTCCTTAATTCCAACACCTGTTTCCTTGCTTCTTGACAAATGACCTCAGCTTCTAAACCACTCCCTCGCCAAGCCCATGGAATCTGGTGTCCACCTTATTGCCATGAGGCAACAGAGGAACAACTGTTGCGACCAAGTCCACGCCTCAGGCCTCCTTCTCTTTGGCCTTCTGCGGGGACTGGTCCTGCCGTTACAGCTCCCCATACCTTACATTCCTGAAAATCTGGGCCTTTGAGGGCCTTCTTCTGAATTCTCGTCTACCCTTCCTGGGTTTCAGGTTTTAACCTGCTCCATTGCTCCTTGTTCTCACTCTCTTGGTGAGCTGATACACAAGTACATATTTAAAAACCTTCAATTGCTTTAGGTTGATGAGTTGGTCAACAAATGTTTATTGCCCACCTACTATGTGCTCAATACTTTTCTAGGCGCTTGGGCTGTGGAGGTGAATAATGTCCCTGTTCTCATGGCACTTACGTTATTGCACATAAGTATCACATATTTATCACTGTCACCCCTTGCTCCAGTTCCCCAGCCTCATTATCTACATGGTGTCTCCACCTGGATGCCCCAATGAGCTAGGAAGCATTAAGCCCCAACAGAATTCATCCTTCCCACCCAAAATGGCTCTCTGGTCTCCATCAGTCCTCATCCTCCCAACTGCAAGGTCTCCCACAATAGTCATTTGCATGCTTTCCTATCCTTAGTATAACATTCACTCCTATCTCTAAGTCCAGACCCTCTTCACCACTCATCTGTTAGCACAACATCCGAAGTGGCTTCCTTTAAGGTGGAATGGCTCAGATCCCCGGTCTCTTCTAAATGCTGCCTCCAAGAAGTCTTTCCTATGCACACATTTCATCCTGGCATGCATTCTCTGCTCCACATCTCCACCAGCCAATGCCCTGCCACCGTCTA